ACATATAACTGCAATTTTGAGTGTCACTGTATTTTTAAAGTGAGTTTTATTTTGAAGATGATCTCTTATTTTACTCTAATATATGTATAAGAATAGAGAACTTGGTTTGTAGGTGGATAGTAGTTGCATAAGAAAATGAAATCTATTAGAAGTAAGTCTGCTTTAAAAATAAACTCTTAAAATATTACTTTTTAATAGCAAAAATATGTTCTAGGTAAATTCACAAAGTGCATATTTTATCTTTATTCATAAATATATTTTACAATTTAGATGAAGAAAGTGGTAATGTATATCTGCTCATTTATTCAAAGAGCCTATAATGAGTGCCTCTTCAGGTGAGAGGTATTTTATAATATATGGAAGGAAAAAAATCTGGGTCTTTTGAAAGTCATTCAAAAATTAAAATTTGAAAATAAAACTAAGCAGAAAAGGGCTTGAAATCACATGTTGTATATGTTTTTATAATCTTTGAAAAGCTAGCATAAACTAACCTGTTTTCCCTATCAAGGATTTCTTTTGGGGATAGTGGTATTCTAGCCCTTATATTTTGATACAATCATTTTCACATGGCTCTTTTAATATCATCGATGCTATAATTTTGGATATTTTGACATATTCTGGAAAAAAATCTAACTTTGACTTTTTATTTTTGTAAATCAATAAAAGTACAAAATAGATATTTTTATTCCATTCATGGTCTTTACCTTAGTCTTTATTCCATCCTAATCTCTGAAGGTTCAGAGTGAGGGAGTTTATGATTAGTGTCAGGGTGGAGTTAAAGGGTCAAAGATGGGGTGAGATTTAGGACAGGAGAGGTCAAGGGTGGAGTGAGAATTGGAGTAAGTTTCAGGAATAGGATGAGGGAAAGGATGATAAAGGAAATGGGGTGGGGTGAAGAATGGGGTTAGAGTGTGAGTGTGGAATGGGATGGGGAGAAGAAGAAGGTGGGAAATTAGGTGAAGATAAAGGACAGAGTAGATATCCAGAATGGAGTTGGGGTGGGGAAATGGTTAGGGATAAAGTAGGGATGAAGTGTGAAAGTCAAGGATGGGGTAGAGGTGGTGGATGGGATAAGGTGAAGGAGGGAATGGAATAAGAGTTGGCATGAGGAACCTGTATAAAGGGGTAAGAATTAGGGACTTGGGATAGTACAAACTTTAGGGATGTAAACACCAAAGTTGAATTATTTTAAGGCTTACTAGTTGGTATCAGTAAATAATGAAATGGCAAGTTTCAGAAGAACAAAAGCAAAAACTTTAAAATAATATTTTTAAGAAAACATCATTTACTTTAAAAGCTATAATTTTATCCTAATTTTTGTTTTAATTTTCTTTTTTCCTCTTACTTTCCACAAAATCATCACTCACATCAATGATGCTCTCTGCTCTTGAAATATTTATTGATCAAGGCACGTGTACATTATACTCTATGATCTACTAAAATCACTTTGCTATATTTTGAATTTTCACTTGCAAAACATACTTTAAAATATCATTATATGTAAATACCACTTGCAATTAATGAAGTGTTCTTGCTAGTTAATGAATTTCAGAATAAATAATGAATACTGTCTATATTGTCTCATTCTTAAAAAGAAATATCATTTTACATTCAGTTACTATTAGATTAATAATCAAGAGGAATTCCCTTGCCTATTTTTATGAATTTTTTCTATATTAGATATTTTAATTTTATAATGGTTCTTGATACTTTGGTTTTCTGAAATAAATTAAGGTTTCGCTACTTATGTAAAGCCTCAATTCTTCATTTTACTTTCTAATTATAGACAAACAGACCATTTAAATTTTAAAGAAAAAGATCTTTACAAATTGTTGTAGTCTCTTTGTTTTAATGTACAGGTTATGGTTATGTATGGATGTTCCCTCATCAGAATTCTTTGAGAATTCAAAATATTTTGAACTCAATTAAATGCTTTGAGAAATATTTTTCTAACACTATGTTGACTGAAATGAGGGTGGCAGTTATGTGATCTGAATATCATACATTTTTTGGTTCTTAGAGGAGTATTAATTCCTCTGTTAATTTAGTTGTAATAATTAATTTTTCCCCTTTGTTACATCCTATTAAACTTTGAGGAAAATATTTTTGATTTGCTTAATTTTTAAAGATTTAAACAGATGAAATATTATTTAATAAGAAAATTTTTTGATTCTTCTGCTAATTAACTTGTGAATTAAAAATCATTTGGACTTGTCTGAATGTCCACTGTACAATTTAATTTAAAAATGAAAAATATTTTATTATAATCATGGGATTGGATGTAAAATATCTGTAAAGTTAGAAGAACTCATCTCTTACTCAAACTGAGAAGGGCACACTTCACATTTTTTTAGAACTTTGGAAGGAAAGAATCTGGATAATTATGGTGGTTAAGCAGTAAGTACTTATTGTTTTCTGATCAACTGTTCTTTCTTACAAAGTACAATATGCAGGAAAATTTCAGAGTTCTTTCTCTCATCCTATGTCATCACTGATTTTAGCAAGTAATTTTCTTCTTATTTTACAGGGGATATATTAAAATATAGAAATATTATATGTAATTTCAATCTATCATTTATTTGATAAGAGCAAGAGAGTTAGAAATGGCCCACCATTTTCTTTCTTCAACACTATGCCTTCAGATTTGAAATTTTAACATTTTGTCATGGAAATCTCAGATCCAATTTATGCAAAATTTGTGATGAAGCTTTCTTATTCAATATGTTTCATGATCTTTACTCTCTCCTGTAGAATTATGATGATTATTGAGTGTCTTTAGATAATTTACTTGACATAGAGAACCCTAAGAAGATATGACAGAATCCTTGAAGATAAATAATGATGTGTCGTTGAAACTTTTGCGTTGCTCAGTTCTGAACTAACAATACTTAAAAGTGACTTTCTTGTACAAGATCGAGAATTATCTTCTGAGACCATCTTCACATTTTATTCTTTACCTTATTTTCATTCAATTTCTTAAAATTTTACAAAGAAGAAGCAGCAGGCCATTTTGCATATAATTTTTATATTTAAATTTTAAGCCACCAAATACAATACCCAAAATTATATGGATCATAAAGCATGAGGAATAACACTCACATAGCAGGGTTTTGTTATTGTTGTTGTTAATGGTGGTGTGCTAGTGACTATCTTCAATTATATATCAGTGTTATATATAATTGAGCATAATTTTGTTTGCTATCTTTCTTTTCACTTGATTTTTTGTAAATGTTAGTTCTTAGTAAGTTATCTCTCAGTTTCCACCTTATTTTACTCTTTTTTGCACCCACAAGGTGGTTTCCATTGAAAGTTAGAAATGCAATAGTTCAGTTCCACAAAGTTAGTGTGACAAGAGAATGTATAGAGTAGACTATCTGTTAAACAAGGTGAACTGTCAGTTTGGTTTTTTCTCAGTTAGGCATTGGCAGTAACTGAAGTATCACAGCCTGTATTTTCCCATTAATTCTGAGTTTTTTCCACCCTATACAAAATTCAGGTTACTCAAGTCTGAAATGGTACCCTATCTTCTGGGCTGGTTAGAAGTAGGAGAAAGAAATCTCACCACCTTTCCTTTTCTTCTGAGGCCAAAGCCCTGATTCAGTAAGTGCATACTGGACCAGGAGGGAGTAAAGACAGGGAGGCTAGCTTAGCCTCTTTACCTCCTTCCTCAAAGGCCAAATGGATCCTGTGAGTGGGCAAGAGTTTGCCCTCAGACCACAGATCACCACCCCTTACACTATGTGGTAAGGCACATAATAAGGGGTTAGATGGTAACCTGTAATTTAAATTGCCCTTAGATTTTGTAAAAACAACAGCTACTATTATTCAGAAAAGTTGAAAATTTAAATGTACAAATTGAATAGTGGCCCATATGCCCTAAAACTTTCAACAAAATTTATATTATGTATGAGTGTAAAGTAAAGAGATTATTTTCTCCATATAGTTTCTGAGTTAGTCTCATTACTTTCCAGTCATAACTTACCTATCTTAAATAATTTGTGAAATAAATGTTTCTGAAAACCAAATCTTATCGCTAACTATGATTGTTTAATTTGAATGCCATGCTAATCATATAGGCCAATAAAAAGTGGTCCTCTTCTTTCTGAGAAGGGCACACTCTATTCAATAATTTAGTAAAATATTTCAATAACTTATCACTTCTTCCCTGCATCTTTTAATGACAAACTAATTTGGTAGTTGAGAAGAACAAATAAAATTAATTTCAAAACAAAAATATTGTTTTAGCATGAAATATTTTAGGCATCCTATGATGCTGTTAGTGTTGTCTTACCCATATTATTTATATCACAACCAGTGTACTATTTACAGTTCTACAGTTGTTTGTCTCCTTGTATATTTTAAGGCTTCCAGTAAATATTTACAATTTTGTCAGACATGGGTCAGAAAAATAAATATATATATTAAGATACTCTTGTTAGTGATCTTTCTTCAGAGGTCCTATTGAGACATTTCAAAGAAGCATTGTATTAAAGAATCATCTGCCAAATCTCCTGGTTCCTTAGCTTTCAGTCAATAAATTTCTTGGACATTAAGCTGGACTCATCTACATAATTATTAATAAATATAAGACCACTTTTACTTGTCCATCAAAATATCCCAAAAGACCTGAAGTTATTGGGACACACTTGAAGACCTACAGGTTAGTTGGCATTTTGTTTAGTGACAAAGACACTGTATCTTTTAGCAAGTAGAAATATAGCCTTGAAGAAGTAAGCATTTTACTTTTCCACAACTCATTCCTCCAACCAAATTATCTCACAGATAATTGATGGTTGCCATTCACAATAAACTAGTAAGTAAACTACAATCTAGTTCCAAAAATTCTGATAAAGGGCAATCATAAGTGTATATTTATGTATGCATTTTGAATTTAGATGTCACATATACTATTTTGAGTTATAGGGTTTGGTACACCTCTGTTTTAATGTTAATTGTCATGGTGTGTTTAATAACAGGACTTTGTTGTAAGATGTCAGTTTTTATAATTGGTGTTCTCCTATCTTTGAGAACTCAGTAAGTGGAGAGAATACAATACATCTGGAAGTTCCAGCATTATGCCTGAGAGTTTCAACATTACCCACGGGAACTCCAACACCACTGCCCCTAAGAATTCCACCATTGCCCCCAGGAACTCCAGGATTATCCAAGAGAATCCCAGCATTATCCATGGGAACTCCAACATTACCTACAGGAACTCCAACATTAACACTTGGAATTCCAATAGTGCCCCTGGGAACTCCAGTATTATCTATGGGAACTTGAACATTAACCATGGGGATATGGACATTATTCCTGGGAATTCTAACATTGTCCCTGGGAAGCCTGGAATTATCTCCAGGAACTCCAATTTTACCCGACATTGCAGAAAAATTCTCAAAGCTTGCATCAATAAGAGGATGTTCTCCAGAACCTGACATCATGCCCTTTTGCCAAGCTTCTTCAATGCTGTCTCTTTCCTTTGCATTTTCTAAAAAAAAAAAAAATAATAATAATTCAAAAGTTGTTTTTAAATGATTGAAGATTGACTTCTAGTGTTTTGAGAAGAAACTGAGTAAGAATGACAGATAAGTCTGATTGTGATCCCAATCCAATCACCTTAACAATTTAAAATCACATGGTAATATCACCACAGTATATAACCTTTTGTTTAACAAAATAAACTGTTTTAGGTGTAAAACATGGATGGATTAAAAACCATGTTCTGGCTAAATGGTCCCACACGATGTCCAGGGATTTGAAGGTAATAGAAAACAGGGAAGTAGGGGAAAGACAGGGACAGAGAGGCAGAGCAAACTATAGTGGAGGGGAGCTGCAGAGGGATAAGAAATTAATGAGATCAAGAATTCAGTGGAGTACATGTGGTACTTATTTTTCCATTCTTATACTCATCATCACATTGGTTTTAACTGATCAACACCTAAGTACACATATAGGAATAACATTCATTGGGTGTTGGGCAGATGGGAGGGGGAAGTAGGGGATGGGTATATACACTGGTAATGAGTGCGATGTGCACCATCTGGGGGATGGACACACTTGAAGCTCTGACTGGTGGGGGTCAAGGGAAATATACATAACCTAAACATTTGTACCCCCATAATATGCTGAAATAAAAAAAATAATTCAGTGGAAACATGAAATCAGAAAGAAGGGTAACCATGAGAATGGAAACACCTAGGAATTTGCAGCAATCTTGAGGAAAGTATGGGATGTGAGACTGAGGTTGAGCCAATTTTATGAACATTTCAAAGGATGAAGTGATCTGAGCTGATTTTAGATTATAATTAAATTTCAGTCTCTGATAAATAACTTTTCAGAGCCTTAAATGTGTGTAGAAAAAGAAACAAATTACAGAACGGCCAAATTATTATGATTTCCAGAGAAAGTTTGGGTTAGATTCCAGATTACTCTCTGGAACTAACTCCAGTGGTTTATTGAGGCTATTTCTAAGAAAGATTACTAGTTGATAACACCATTTTCTTAAAGTTATGGGGGCAGGCTTCTAACATGAGTTAGGACTCAAAATTCCTATTAGTATTTGGTAACCATAGTAGCATTTTTTATATGTTTAAATAGCTTTAATGATAATAAAAATGTTACTTTATAGTTAATAGCAAATTTCAATCTAGGATTTTAACATTCATTATAAATACTTCTATTAATATTACCTTTAAGTAGGTATAGGCTATAATATTAATCATTCACTTGCCAATAACTACTTTTTAGCCACTAGGTTGCTCACATACAAGAGGAAATGGAGAAGTTACTTGGCTTTTTTGTTTGTTTTACAACCAGCGGGGTTGTGCCCCTAATTCCATTGGTTTTCTAATCTAAGCCCCTATTATTTAGTTACTGGGTGATGAGTGTGTTGGGGGTAAAGTTTTCTATTCTATGGGTTAAAAGCTGTGATACAGGGAGGACAGGTCATTTTCTCAAGATTTTTCAAAGAGAAAATTTACTCCAAACTTCAAGAGTGTATTTTCCCGTGATTATTAAGTGGCATCTGACTGAATTTGTCCAACTTAAAGTTATACTGTAGTCCTCAAATATAAGGCTTAAAATTGTGGGGCAGTCACCAATTCTTTTAGAAAAAGCTAATGTCCTATGGTATAGAAAGAAATAGATTTCCAGGTGGTGAGTTTGAAAATAAATTTATTGATGAAAGTCTACTTGTCTGGAAAGTTGTATGTAACTTACAAATGTCGTTATAGCAAGCTCAAAAATCTTACCTCCTGTGAGAAAACTATGACCACTTGGGAAGAAGAAGCACGTCTCTTCTGGATTTAATGTTAACTCAGGTGCATGTAGTTTTCGGCTCTTGACATCACTGTATCGTGGCAAGCTCTGACTACGCTGCCGCTGGAGTTTAGGACGCTGGGGCAGCAATGGGAAAGGTCCTTCCAAAGCATGGAAATGGTGACCCCTAGGAGGAGTGGTTGCTGCTTCATTCTCCTTCTCTGATGGTGGCTTTAGGTAGCCAGCCTCTCTCTCCTTTTCTGAAGGAATAGTTTGGAGAATATGTATCCCTTCACTGTTTAGCGGTGCTTCTAAGAGCTCCTCCCAGGAACGACGGAAGATGGATCTATCTCTAAGACGATACATGCTTCTTGCTACTTCCAGGTCGTCACTTTCTGGGGACTCTGCATTTTCTGGAGATTCCAGCCACACATTTCTTGGGGTTCGTGGGCGACTGTATTCTGAGGATGGCGAACATTTATTTATTAAAGACTCCAGGTGGGGCCGGGCGCGGTGGCTCACGCCTGTAATCCTAGCTCTTGGGAGGCCGAGGCGGGCGGATTGCTCAAGGTCAGGAGTTCAAAACCAGCCTGAGCAAGAGCGAGACCCCGTCTCTACTATAAATAGAAAGAAATTAAGTGGCCAACTGATATATATATATAAAAAATTAGCCGGGCATGGTGGCGCATGCCTGTAGTCCCAGCTACTCGGGAGGCTGAGGCAGGAGGATCACTCGAGCCCAGGAGTTTGAGGTTGCTGTGAGCTAGGCTGACTCCACGGCACTCACTCTAGCCTGGGCAACAAAGCGAGACTCTGTCTCAAGTATAAGCCCAGTGAATTTCAAGGTTGGCATTTCTGTGTCATCTAGCTCCTCCTTTCCAGGCACACCAGCAACAAGTATTGCGGTGCCTTTCCCCCTTTCCTCTGGACTGGCAATTCCAGTAACGTCTAAGTGCTGAGATTCTGGGACCCCTGGAGATTTAACTGGCATTTTCTCTAGGTGAAGAAGCCCTGAAGTTTTTGGTCCTATAAGGGCAATGCTCTCTAACTCTTTAGTTAGTGGGGGGATGGTAACCATCACCACCTGACTGATAATCCCCAGGTCCCTCTGATGAATACCTTCTCGGGTGTGTTGATTGGAGGCCATAGTTGGTTTCTGTTGTTTTTGTCTTCTAGCCCTTTCCTGAACTTCTGCATCAATAGGACGAAAATAGATGAACTCATCGGAAACGTTTTGAGCACGTCTGTATTGGAAGTTTGGATTCACAGAAACAATCTGAAAGAAAATTCAAGTTCAAAGATACAGTTTATTGCATTACATGAACACATATGATACCCTCGCTTTGTTTTTCAGATGTTCTCTTATATATGTAGACGTAAGATAGCACTAAAATAGACACTATAGACATACTCAGATTCTTCCAAATCCGTTGACAAATGTAAGGAATCCCCAAAAGAATTACGTTCTTTCTTCGTGGGATAGATTATTCTAGTATGGTGTTTACCAAAGTGTGTTTTCTAGAACCGTAGTCTCTGCAAAGGCTTCACTCCCCCCCCCATAACACACACATGATTCCATGGCCAATAATTTGGAAAATAACAAACATATATAATTCTCTCTCAGAATTTCATAATGTATAGGAGTCTATTAAGGGCTCTGATAAATCTTTTTTATTGATATTTAAATTCACTCCAGACGTCTCACACTGTATGCCTGCCCTGATCACCGTAGGGCTAGGTACCAGACAACTAGGGACAGCTCCTAAGTGCCAGAGTCCATTGAAATTATTCAAACTAACCAATCCTAAACGTGTTCGCTCTGCCTCATTCCATGGATCATATGGCGCTCTCCACCCCCTAGTGGTATAGCATGCCCTCTCCTCTTGAGATCTGAGTGTAACAGTCTTTTCAATGGCAGTCATCTCTTGATCTGTTGGCCTCATTATATATAATAATATATAAATAATACATATAAATAAAGCATACTAAAACATTCGCATACCATAATCACCCTTTTAAACTGTGTACTTCAGTGTTTTTTAGTACATTTACAGTTTTACAATCATCACTACTACCTAATTTCATCACTCCCCCCAAAACTCAGGACACTGGCAAAAATGGCACAGTAAGGACCCATGAAAATTCTTCTTGTCATGAAAGCAATGAGAAAACTGGCAGTTAATGTCAGAATCAACTTTTTTAGAGCTCTATAAATTAACCAAAGCCTTGCAGCAATTTGGGGTCATCTATTCAAGAAAAACAGCTGAATCTTGGAAAGAACAGTGAACTTTGTTGCATTTTAATTTGCTTTATTCCCATCACTCCCCTCTCAAGTTCCATAGTAGTATTGAAAACCAACAGCCTACAATAAAAGTGAAAAACTATGAGGAGACAGAATAGGGTTGGGGTTCCTTTAGAGACTGAATTGACCTGTCTGGCAACCACTAATCTACTTTTTGCCTCAATAGATTTGCCTATTCTAGACATTTAATATAAATAGATTCATATAAAATGTGGCATTTTGTGTCTGGTTTCTTTCACTTAGCATAATGGTTTCAAAGTTCATCCATGCTACAGCATGTATTGGTATTTCATTCATTTTTATGGTCAAATAATATTCCAATGTATGGATATGTCTTATTTTGTTTATCCATTCATTAGTTATTAGACATTTGGGTTGTTTCCACTTTTTTGCTCTTAGGAATAATGCTGCTATGAGCATTCATGTCTAAGTATTTGTATAGACATATGTTTTTATTTCTGTTGACTGTGTGCCTCAGTAGAATTCCTGGGTCATGTTGTAACTCTACCTGCAACCCTTTGAGGCACTAACAGACTATTTCCCAAAGTGGCTATACCATTTTGCATTTCTGAGAAGTCTTTAAAAATTGTGTTTATTTTTTTCAAATGTAGTTTAATATATAACAATTTTCACAGAACTGATTATGAACATTTTGTGGGAACATTCTATGAATATGTTCTAATCAAATAAACAAGGACTTCCTCCCATTTTCTCCCCCGAAAACATAAAAATAGGGAAATACTGAAGATACTTCTTTTCTCCTGAAAATATCTAGTAGTAGAAGGCAAAAAGTTGGAAAAGGGTTTTGTGAGAACCTAAATTTATCTTCCAGTTGATAACACAGCATGAAATGGGTAAACATTAGCCTGAAGTTTTCAATGTGATGTTGTTGCTTTAGTCACTCTTTCTTTGGTTCTGTTTATACAAGGATCATATCATGGAAGCTAGAGAAAAATATGAAAAGTGATAACTTTTAGAATCAAATGCTAGTACTACTTAGTGGATGTTTTGAATTTTACTATAGTTTTTCTAAAGTCTGTATTTTATAGCCTTTAAAAATATGGAGGAATTTAAAAACCTACTTGAAGATGTAAATAAGCTTCTGAGATGATATTACAAGTTAAAGTATTACGTGAATAAAAATTTTATTTTTTGATATTATATTTCTTCAGTCCAATTTATGTTGATATCCTTTCAATGTTCAAAGAAAGAAAAATCTGCATGTGTTAAACATCCACCTATCATGTCAGTTTTGATCACATCAGCTAATGATGGGGAGGTAAATTATTGTCCTCCTTTTATGGATTCTACTATTCTATTTTCTCAAAATGGTATTCATATTTCACACTAAGGATTTTCACACAGAAACTGCATTGTGACATGAATGTGCTTTTAAACAATGGAAATTTTGACTTTTGTACATTTGGCCACTGCTGACAATGTTGAAATGATGATCATACTTACGGTAGTTGCTTCATGGCAGTTGTTACACCAAATCACAGGGAACTCTCTCTTCAGGGACAAAATGCAGTTTGCATAAATCATAGCACCTATACGTCTGTATTCTGTAAGAAAAGATAGGGCTTTGGGTTTGAAGAGTCTATCCAAGGTTGACTTGTAGGTTGGCAAACTTTGTGATAGACTTAAATGTTTCCTCTGAGATTGATTAAAGGGAAGATGATAGGAAAAAAGAGGATCATTTTTTAACCCTTTCTTTCCTTCTAGCACATAATGGCCTACCTAGTGAGGACTGGCTACTATTTTCAAGTAGTCTGGAAATTTTGGTTATGTGGCTAGTGCTACTGCCGCATCCAGGGTTTTGCTAAACAACTATGTACAGATAGTGCTTTCTGAGGCATCAAATCAACTATCAAATTTAAGATACTTGAAATTGAACTCAACTATGGAAATAACGGCTAATGTAGTATGGAGAGGCTGCACTTTCCCACTCTTCATATTGTGTATGTGTGTGCCTCTGTGTGTTGGTGGGATATTTCAGTAAATAATTATCTATCAGGAATAGCCCCTTTTAAATAATTTTGTTAATTTATTTAACTGGGTACGAATCAATTTTGCAATAAAGTTATAGTGTGACTTTTTACTAGTAAATATTGGAATTTGATCATTAATTTACACTTGCTTTTTGATGAATATGCAAACTAGAAAATTTTGTATGTAATATATCTGCATAAGACTTTTTTCCCCTTTACTGTCTTTTTCCCACTACTTTCTAGATCAGCCTACATGCAAGCTTTTTAAAATTATTGGCAATAATAATGAATACTGGAGAATGTTTTACATAATAAGAACTTTTATTTCTTTGGCCTCAAGATCACTTTAAAATGATTCTTCTATCAGTGTAAGTGATCAAGTGATATTTATTTTTTTTAAGGGTGTTGAGGAATCCTAAGGCCTATATAAATTTATTTAACCTAATCCTGCTTTTTATTAGGACTTTTCCATCTAGACAGAACAAAATTATTGTATGCAGAGTTACAAAAGAGCAGACAGATGTATGATCCACTATATTTAAGATTGTGTAGTATCTAATGAAAGAACCAGAAAACTGTCTGTGTTTGAAGTATGTGGTGAAAGAGACAAGAAGCAAAGTGATAACCATATAAAAGGATATTGCACACGTACACATGCTTCCTAATTTAATAAATCAACAACCTCTCCAAAAGATTATATAAGATATAATTTATTTTTATATCTCAGTTTCAGACCAATTTTAGAAATTAAACTTTTTTGATGCAATTCAGTAATTCTTGAATATATAATTTGAAAAGTAATTGTCTTGTATTTATTAAATGCATTATAGTAAAGCTTCTGATACACTTTAGATGATGCCATGTATGGAAAGATGTGTTAATAATGAGCTTATATCAAATAATGTTTCTGGATTTTTTAAATTGCACAAATCTTTGGAACTTTGAAGTCCTTACCTGCATTAGCAGCTGCATCTCCAAATGAGGAACCATATGCTAACTGTAACATCTGTCCAACCCAACTGACAAGAAAAAAAAAAAAAAAAACAAGGAGAAAAAGGGCAAGAGTTAATAATAACAGCCAATAATTATTGATGGACTATGATATGCAAGGCACTTTCTCATTGACTACTCATATCAACTATAAGTGGTAGGAACTATTGTTATTCCCATTTAACAGATGAGTGAATATCACATAATAGGTACTGAAATGTTTATTGAATTAATGCAATTATGTATTAGGAACTCTTTTTTTTTTTTTTTCTTGCAGAGACGAGGTCTCACTATCTTGCCCAGGCTTGTCTCCAACTCCTGGCCTCAAACAATCCTCCCACCTCAGCCTCCCAAGGTGTTAGGAATATAAGCATGAGCCACTGCACTCGGACCCAGGAGGTTAGACAACATGTCTGAGTTCACACGGCTAGTAAGTGGTGGTGCTCTTAATCCAGGCAGTTTAGTTCCAGAACCCACAATCTTATCACCATAGCATATGGCTTCTAGCTATGATTAGAGATATCTTAAAATTTAAAGGGATATAGCCTTGACATCAAATGCCAATGAGTTCCATAGACAATAATTTTCTTTAGGGATAAATTTTAAATTTATAATAGAGTAATAATATAAACCAGAATTAAAACAAATAAAGATCATGATTTAAGGCCAGTATAAATTATATAACATTTTCTCTAATCATGAGATGAAAGAAAGCTGCATCATTGATAGTTGGATATTTTCTAAGCTTTCCATATCACCAATGTTAGAAAGATAAACACTAATATATATCAATCATCCACATTTATGGCCTGACTTTCAAGTTGAATTAGCACTGCTCTGACAGTATCTATAGAGGCAAGACTCAGTCATAATTTCTTACTGCTGATACACATAAATCATGATATTAAAAATCATGCCAAACACTTAGTAAGCTGATAGTACTCAATTTTACATCGAATGTTTTCATTCAGAGAATACCTGTTAGCAATTTTTACCAGGAGATAGCTATATCTTTATTTTATTTTTTTATTTTTATTATTTCAGGATATATATTATGGGGGTACAAACATTTTGGTTACATGTTAGGACTTTGCCACACCCAAACCATGATTTGATAACTAGGATAGAACCTTTTCTTTAAATCAGCTCAGTTATTCTACTTCTGAAACTACTAACAGAATGAGACCATCCTTCCTTCCTCTAATCCAAGTACAAATTTTAACATTTCATAATTGATTGCACTGAAGCTGGGGAAGTGGTGAATAGGAACTAACGGACCAAGATGGAAGTGATCATTATGAATAAAAAAGAAAATCAAATGTCCTAACCAGAAATAGAATTGCCATCCTAATATGGACATTTTGACTGTTTCAAAATATCTTATTTAATTTTATTGTTTTGCCCCAAATATTTACTATATTATGTGGAATTGAATTTGATGTTGAAAATATGGTATTTGAAGCAGAATAATAAAGATGATATAATTAGTAACTGTGAATTGGACCACAACAGAAAAAAAATCATAACAGTGTGAGATCATTTTATTCTGAAAATTCTGGTTATAATTATTGATGACCTATATACATAATCTCTACAATAAAAATTTCTGTTAGCTTCTTGGGAACAAACCATAATATTGAATTTCTTTATCAGAATTTCTTACATGGCAATATTTCAACCCTCTACAAATATTAAGCATATTCATAGCATAGCTCTCTATTAAATCAATGATCTTTAGTGACATGGATGTAAATTTTATTCATTTTTTGCAGTGACATATCATAACGTAAATATTTTGTAAAAATCTCTTGGCAGCATGAAGAAACTAAAAGACAAAGGTTAAAAAGTGTTTAGTTTGCAAATCATGCAATAAAGAAAGTTTTTAGTGAAAGCTAAGTAAAAACAGAATTCTTCCTTCCACTCTTTCAAGTGATCAATTGCCACGTGTGGCTAGAGGCTACTGTATTGGATAGTGTAGATATAGGGTGTTTCCATCATTGCAGAAAGTCCTATTAGACAACATTGCATTTGTATGTATGGGGAAAAGGAAATTTTGTTTTAGAAGCAAAATTGACATAGAATTCAAGGTTTTCATACAGTTTCTGGTTGTTTTAATAAAGATTTTACAAATCTCAATTGATATTTTCATATCTTTACAAAATTACAATCCTTCCATTGCCCATTGAAAAGAGTAAGATATTAAAATTAACTTTTATATTTCCAAAAGAGAAAATCTCATTTAGAAACTAAAATTTTTCTTAAGTCAAGTGAGAAATTAATGTAATCGATAAGTTAGTGTACTTAAGTTGAAATAGAATTTTCTATTTTGTCTCTTCTGTGCTCCAGATAGGAGAAAATCTGACACTTATTGAAAATGTAATGTCAATAACATCTTCAGCATCCAAATAAATTATTTTAAATGTGCATGAAAACAGTAAGAAACTAAGCATACATTTTCCCCGTTGAACAGTTATTATTGTTATCTTTTTTGAAATATTAAGGAATAAACTTACTTTTAGAAAATTAAAACTTTAAAAATTATTATCTTTAGTCTATGATTATAAAATTAGATAACACAATTGTTATAGCATGTTTTAAATGTAATGATAGTAGTAATCTGCTTATTACACTGATTGGTCATCCCTGAATGTTCAAGCTCTAATCAATGAATTGGGCTTTTCCATATATATATTTTCATAAAAGTAATTTTTATCTGTATGACCACATAGACACAAGCAGTAAAAACTGCTAGGGTGTGATCCTCCATGGTGTTTCTACACATCTTGTGACAGCATTTGTCCTAGACTATCATTTTAAAGATCTCTTTTTAATTTAAAAAAGTAAATTTTCTTACAGATATACTAATCTTTAATACGTTGATATTCCTTGTAAGAATGCAAATAATAACTAAATATCAATGTAAAGATTGTGTTTAAGTGAATAAAAGGAAATTATTAAAAGTTCAGTTTCATATTTAATATACTATCATTTTTTTAAAAAAAAAAACAGCTTTATTGAGATATGTTTGTACAATGAACAGCTTTGGAAGATAGATGCCCATCCAGGGAAGAGAGTAGATTTGTCTACTGACCAGGTTAATAACAATGTCTCTCTCTGGGACAAAGAATTTGGGAGTTCCTAAACTTGGGTTTGCTCAGGGGTGACCCAAACCCACTGTGTGTGCAGCACCTACCTGGTGTGCTCCACATGTCCCCTTTGGGACTTGAGGGGCAAGGAGAATTGATGTCAGTGAAGCTCATGCTGACTGCTGTGCCATGATTAATGAAAAGGACTTTTTCTCTAACCCAGGAGTCTCTGTCATTCTGCCAACCTCCACCAAACTGTGACAGGCTAATTTACAGGCATGCAAACTGGATAAAATCTCAGATCTTAAATGGTTCTTTAGAAAACATAAGCGAAATTAGAGCTAGTAGGTACATCCAGAGAAACCACACATAACTTAACCCAGAGGGTGGGAGAGAGGCCAAGAAGGCAAAATGGTAGAGACTGAAGGAGTGGAAGGTGTAGAAAGCTGGGCACAAAACACATTTTATTTTGTAACAACTAATCCATTTCACTTTTGGTCAGTTAAACCTGGACCTCTAAGTAGAGGATATGGGTTAAGATTATTGTTGCTATAGGCCAGGCGCGGTGGCTCACGCCAGTAATCCTAGCTTTCTGGGAGGCCGAGGCGGGAGGATTGCTTGAGGTCAGGAGTTCAAAACCAGCTTGAGCAAGAGCGAGACCCGTCTCTACTATAAATAGAAAGAAATTAATTGGCCAACTAATATATATAGAAAAAATGAGCCGGGCACGGTGGCACATGCCTGTAGTCCCAGCTACTCGGGAGGCTGAGGCAGCAGAATTGCTTGAGCCCAGGAGTTTGAGGTTGCTGTGAGCTAGGCTGACGCCACGGCACTCACTCTAGCCTGGGCAACAAAGTGAGACGCTGTCTCAAAAAATAAATAAATAAATAAAAAAAAAAAGATTATTGTTGCTCAAAATCAAAACATCTGAAAACACAGGTGCTTCACAGATATGTAATCTTCACCCAGCTTTCCCTGTGGTCAGTTTAAAAGACTTCACATTAGAAATTTTCCTGTTTGGTGGAACTGCTCTCTTTCTCATCCTAAAATCTCCACCCTCTTGTTCTTGCTGTTTTCTAATCATAAATCAATAAAGAAATCTTTTAGTCAAAACTAGATTAAAACTGGTCTAACTCAACCTCATGAGAAGGAACTACATTTTCACAAAAAGACTCTATTTAAAACATTGCTAATTCTTTTGTTTTCCAGAGCCTGACAGATTTTAAATAAACACCAAGTTTACCAATCTCTGGGACCTAGAACCATGGAATAAGCCAAGGCCTTGTTCAAATATCCTCCCTCTAGGTCCAGGGACTATGGCAGAAGAAGGGGTGTGTGAGATTTTAAGGGCCGGTTCCAAGGGATAGAATTAGTTAGACCCTCCAGATCAAGGAGGGGCACACAGAATCCTAAAGAAATACTAACTGAAATGGTTTGTCTTTTCAGGCCACATGCTGCAGATACCCATCCCAATCATAAATTTTTTTTTCCTGCTTCCTATAGACTTAGAATTTCCTGAGTATAATTTTTCTCAGTTATGGATTTATACAAAAGGAGATATAATGAGTGATTTATCAGCCACCTTCATATAAATTAATAAAGAGACTAAAATATTGTGACAAAATAAAAGTCTCTAAAATTCTCTTTTAAAAAAACTGAGCTTTGTCTCACGCTCCCCCATCTCCCCACACTATCCATAGACCCCACCCACCAACCCCACATACCCCCACTTCCCCACCCCCTCCACACACACCCTGCTAATGGAAGGTGTACAATGTATGCACAGAAGGATTGGGGAGACGTTGCTTGACAAAGTAATCTAAAGACAACCAATTAATTGAACTGCCACCTTATGTTTATCATTAAGGTGATGGTACTATTTATTTTGAAGTCACATGGCATATTTCTGAGTCCATTCTCTAGCTATTCTGTCGTACTTTCTCCTATCCTTTCTGTAGATCTTCGCAATCTCCGGAACCAAAGGATCATCTGGGTTGGGGTCGCACAACATGGAACAGATGGATAACAACACTTTGGAGACAGTTAGTGCTGGTGACCACTTCGATCTAAGGATGTCCAGACAGATGCTTCCATTTCTGTTAATGTTCGGGTGGTAAATTCGGGTGGTGAATGCGACCTTGGGCGGTTTGAAGGGGTAATCAGATGGAAACTGGATGGTCAGGAAGAAGACCCCTCCTTGGTAGGGGCTGTCTTTGGGCCCCATTATGGTCGCCTGCCAGTGGAGCATATCGTCTCCCAACGGCCCTGCCGAGCACTGGGCCGGGGGGTCGCGGGTGAGGTCAAGGAGCTCCTTGTGGATTCGCTTTAGGGCCATAGTCCGCAATACGTGGTGGCCAATCCTGGGAGCAGGGCCTGAGGCCTGGTGGAGGGCAGCGGCAGAGACCCCAGGGTGGGAGGAGCGGCGAGCAGGTGGGTCGGCAGATGGGAGGGCTGAAGGCCAGCTCTGGGGTTGAGGGGGGCGTCAAGGGAGGTGGAAAGGGCTGAAAGGAGAACTGAGGAAGGGGGGCGTCGGGCGCTCCACTACACCTGATGGGCTGCAGGACACCCGCGGCTCACGGCCACCGCCGCCGCGCCGTCCAGAGCTGGAGACTCCGCTGCTCACAGGCCGCGCTGCCGGGAGGCCGCACTGCCGCAGCCCGGAGACGCTGCCGTCTGGAGACGCCGCTGCTCTTGCTACAGGCAGCCTGCCCCTGCCGCCTGCCTCTGCCGCCTCCCCTGCGGTCCACATCCGGGCGCCAGCGACCAGCGGGGATCCACTCTGTGAGGTCACTGAGGAGGTCTTGATAAGGCAACGCAGTGTCACCAAGGACGCGTCCCGTGGGGGCGAGGGTGGGGGCGGAATCGGGGACCGGGCCAAGAGGGAGAAGAAAGGAGAAGAGGGAGGGTCGGGGGGTCGGGGCATGCGGGTCTCAGCCGGCGCTGGCGCTCTAGGCTGGCAAATAGGGACGCAGGCAGTGTGCTCTGCTGAGAGTTACCTGAATAAATAAGATTAGTTCAATGAATTCCCCTCTACCTTTCCCCTAGGGTCACCTTCCCTTAACATTTCACTTCATTGGCTTTATCCTAATCTCTCTTTAACGTAATACTTTGAGACATTTATTTTTTATTAAAAAGTTAAATTTTTATTTTATCAAAAATTCAATGTGGAACTAAAAATCACTTTAATTTTTGGATAACTCCTGTCGGAATAGGAAAGGAAAGAAGGAAAGAAGTAAGGAAAAGGAACCAGTCGTCTATAAACACTTCAGTTATTGTTCTTTATAAAATTATCATTTTGGGGAAAAGGTGGTTCCAATAGTAAGCATAACTGCAGAACAGAATGTCTTTCATTCTTGAGGATTTTCAATACAGATACTGATTCACTTTACAACCTCTTCACTTGTTTACATGTATGGGAAAGTAAAGCCAAAAAATACCATCAAAATAAGTTGGTCTGTTAGCCATATCAATTCTTTTCCACGAATTAAGCAATAATTTAATAAAGAGTTCTTAAATTTTGGTAAGAAAGTGTATTGTACATGGTAGGTCACAGTTTTCATTTATAATATACTGAATATTCTTCAATTATGAAAATATCCTGCTGCAAAATTAGTTAACTAATATGCCTATTCAATCAACTTCAGAAAGCAAGATAACAGTTCTTTGAAAGTACTTTTCTTTTCTTTTTTTTTTTTTTTTTTTTTTGAGACAGAGTCTCGCTTTGTTGCCCAGGCTAGAGTGAGTGCCGTGGAGTCAGCCTAGCTCACAGCAACCTCAAACTCCTGGGCTCGAGTGATCCTTCTGCCTCAGCCTCCCGGGTAGCTGGGACTACAGGCATGCGCCACCATGCCCGGCTAATTTTTTATATATATATCAGTTGGCCAATTAATTTCTTTCTATTTATAGTAGAGACGGGGTCTCGCTCTTGCTCAGGCTGGTTTTGAACTCCTGACCTTGAGCAATCCGCCCGCCTCGGCCTCCCAAGAGCTAGGATTACAGGCGTGAGCCACAGCGCCCGGCCTGAAAGTACTTTTCAAGGGAGGAGAATGTAGATGTAGAAGAACGGATCTTCTAATAGTAAGAGAAAATGTCTAACTTATTGAAAGGCACTTTCTCAAATCTCTTGTTTTATATTGTACCAAAAAAGAACTTGGTTTGTGTGCTTCTGAACAAATGAACTGTGCTTGTTACTGTGGTGAAATACCAAATTTTAAAATCTTCATTTAAAATAATATTTAAGAAAATTCAAAAAGAAAAGCAGAACTATTCTTTATGTAGGAAGCATATGCAATGTTGCAAGATTTTGAGCTAAGCTTCCCTAGTTTTTCTTTTCCCATTGTGATGAGACTTGAAAATTATTTTGCAAGACTAGATGCCATTAACACCAACCTTTTTGAATGTGTTAGATATCAGGACCATGTAATCTTGTGTAAATTCTCTATAGGGAAAAAAAAAAACGGTAGTTATGATCCTTTCTGTGACCAAATCCTGTGGAATATACCTTTTACATCCATGTTCACTTTATCTCCAATACGATTGTCTTAATTTAGGATATAATCGTTTGTTAACAGACTACAGTAATATATTTTTTATGGAGGGAAACCTCTGCACGTCTACTGAATTCTCTCTTTGTGAAGTCCTCTCCTCTCTGGTATTCTTCTCTATAAAGTCTATCTCCTTTGGTCTCCCCTAACTCTTGACTCTGTTTCCTCAACTCAAGGACTTTTGACAGGCTTGACCTGGTTGCTCTTCCCTGTCCTGTGGCCTGGAAACTCTCTCAAAGTAGGAAAAATGGTTCAACTCTTTTATTTCAGGAATTTCTGGGATTACTGTCCATTGTTGGTTGATGTCCAATGTCTTGAAAATCATTGTTTCATATATTTTGTTTAATTTTTTAGTTATTTTAAGTGGGGTGGTAGGTCTATACCTATTACTCCATCTAACTTGAAAGCAGAATTTATACCTATTCATTTTTTATATAGTAATAAGGCAAAAATCTATATTTGAAGGACATGGGCACTTAAGCTTACAGATATTTACATATATCACCACCACTAGGGCTGACACTTTATATGCAAATAAGTTGTAGGTGTAAAAACAACCCCTAATTTAGAAAGTGCAACAGCTCTGCTTCCTTAAGGACAAAGTACTGCATTGCATGTTGGCTGTACGTATAGATCTCTGCTGCAGGATCCCAGGAGTATATCAAATACTGGTCAAATACTGGTGCTGTGGTATCATTGCAATTCTGCCTAAATTTCTGGGCTTTTTTTCCATCTACTTTGTAGACTATACTCAGCCATTTAGTGTTGGAATTCTTTAGGGTCCTGTTTTTACTCTTAAGCTCTTTCCCCAAACCAGTGGTTCTCAGAGTCCTGGGACCACCATCGTCATCATTGCCAAGGGGCTTGTTAGGTGGATTCTCAGGCCCCACACTAGACCTATTGAATCAGAAACTCTGGGCATGGACCCCACAATCTGTGTTTTAATAAGCCCTCCAGTTGATTCTGATGTATGCTGAAGTTTGAGAACCACTTTCTTAGCCGTTCTCACCTATGTCTATGGCTTCAGATACTATATCAACGCAGATGACTCGCAGATTATTTCCAGTTTGGTCCTTTTCCTCTTAGCTCCCGAGTCAGAGGAGCTGCCTTTTTGATGTCTCAAAGGTACTTCAAACTCCACATGTACACAGACCAAACTCACAATCTTGTCCCCCAAACCTTGTTTTCTTACAGTATTTCCTATCTCATTGAAAATAACAATGAAATCCAACTGGTTATACATGCCAGACACTTAGAAATCATCCTTTAACATTCCTTCCCCTCAATTCCTACTACCAAGTGTGTTAGTTTTACCTTCAAAAGATATCTTGAATACATCCACTTGTTTACTTTTTCACTCCCACCATTCTGGCCCAAGTAAGCATTTTTACCTATTCACATACTCTTTGCTCCCTCTTCCAATCTCTTATCTACCTGATCCAGTTACCTCCTTCTGAAAAGCTTTTAGCTGCTTACCTTGGCTCTTGAAATAGACAAAAGTCCTTAACTAGACAGCTTATGAGGACTTCAAGGATTGGATGATACCTACCTCTGCGGCCTCATCTTACACCATGTTATTCCTTTCTTTCTACTCTAAATTCCACACTGGCCTTCCTTCAGTTAATACAGCTCTACCCAACTACACTAAGCTCTATTAGGATTGAAATAAAATCATTTTACTTTGTTAAAAACACAAGCCATTGTTTTCTCTGGATCTAGTATGGTACTTGACACATAATTAAGGCTCAATAAATACATGTTCTATCAATGAATTAATAGAGGGATGATGTTCCTCTTTGGGAGCAGAAGAGATCAAACTTTCACTCTTTGCTAATCATATGATATTACACCTAGAAAACCCCAAGGATTCAACCAAGAGATTCCTTGAATTGATAAATGAATTCAGTAAAGTCTCAGGATACGAAATCAATACAAACAAATCAGAGGCATTCATATATGCCAATAACAGTCAAAGTGAGAACCAAATAAAAGACTCCATTCCCTTCAAAATAGCAACAAAGAAAATAAAGTACCTAGGAATATATTTAAGTAGGTAAAAGACCTCTACAGAGAGAACTATGAAACATTGAAGAACGAAGGAAATAGCAGAGGATATAAACAGGTGGAAGGCCATACCATGCTCATGGGTCAGCAGAATCAACATTGTTAAAATGTCTATACTACCCAAAGTGATCTACAGAGTCAATGCAATCCCTATTAAAATACCATCATCATTTTTCACAGATATAGAAAAAATAATTTTACGCTTTGTATGGAACCAGAGAAGACCCTGTATAACAAAAGAAATCCTAGGTAATAAAAAAAAAATAGGAAGTATCAATTTACCATACTTCAAACTATACTACAGGGCTATAGTAATTAAAACAGCTTGTGATTGGCACAAGAACAGGGACATTGACCAGTGGAATAGAACAGAGAACCTAGATATAAAACTATCCTCATATAGCCATCTAATCTTTGACAAAGCAGACAAAAAATACACCGGGGAAAAGAATTCTTATTCAATAAATGGTGCTGGGAAAACTGGATAGCCACATGTAGAAGACTGAAACAGGACCCACACCTTTCACCTCTCACAAAAATCAACTCACTGCTGGGTAACAGACTTGAACCTTAGGAGTGAAACTATTAGAATTCTAGAGGAAAACATTGGAAATACTCTTCTAGACATTGGCCTAGGCAAAGAATATATGAAGAAGACCCCAAAGGCAATCACAGCATCAACAAAAATAAATAAATGGGACCTGATCAAACTAAAAAGCTTCTACACAGCCAAAGAAACTATCAAGAGAGCAAACAGGCAACCCACAGAATGGGAGAACATTTTCGCATGCTCCACATCCGATAAAGGGCTGATAACTAGAATATATTATGACTCAGGAAAATCAGCAAGGAAAAGTCAACCCTATCAAAAATGGGCAAAGGACATGAACAGAAACTTTTCAAAAGAAGACAGAATAATGGCCAACAAACATACAAAAAAATGGTCAACATCTCTAATAATCAGGGAAATGCAAATCAAAACCACAATGAGATATCACTTATTTCCAGTGAGAATGGCCTTTATTAACAAGTCCCCAAACAATAAATGTTGGCATGAATGTGGAGAGATAGAATCACTTCTACATTTCTCGTGGGACTGCAAACTAGTTCAACCTCTGTGGAAAGTAATATGGAGATACCTTAAAGCGATACAAG